GAAGATATTGGAGTTGTTGGCGCAGAATCAGGATATCTTCCTGAAGGATTTGCTGCTAGAACTACCTCCTAACTGTGAGGTTGATCATCGGATTGAGGTTATTCCGGGTTCTAAACCACCTACGAAAGCTCTGTATCATTTGAACATCAAGGAGATGGTTGAACTCAAAAAGCAACTCATGGAGCTTCTTGACAAAGATCATATCTAACCAACCAAGTCACCTTATGGAGCGTTAGTCCTTTTTGTTATGAAAAAGGATGGAACCATGAGGATGTGTATCGACTATCAGGCACTCAACAAGATCAAAGTCAAAAACAATTATCCTTTGCCTCACATTGATGACTTGTTTAATCAACTCTTAAAAGCTAAGTATTTTATGCAACTTGATTTGTGGTCCGGGTATCATCAGATACGGGTGGCAGATTAGGATGTGGAGAAGACACCCTTTAAGACTCGGTATGGATCTTATGAGTTCTTTGTCATACCATTTGGGTTATGCAATGCTCCGGCAACATTCAGCACTATGATGGATAGAATATTCAGAGATTATTTAGATGTATTTGTTGTCTTTAGTGAAATATTGGAGGATCATTTGAAACACTTGGAGTTGGTGTTTTAGATATTGCGTGAACACCAATTGTATGCTAAGGAAAGTAAATGCGCTTTTGGACAATTGTGCGTAAACTTTCTCGGACATATAGTTGGTGGTGGTGTAATTGAGGTCGATCTAAAGAAGGTGGAAGCAGTGAAGTCCTGGGAAGTCCCGACCACTATATTAGATATTCATTCCTTTCTCGGTGTAGTGGGATACTATCATAAGTAGTATTCTCTTCATCAACTGAAGAGAATACTACTCTTCAGTTGATGAAGAGTAGTATTCAACTACTCTTCATCAACTGAAGAGTAGTATTCAACTACTCTTCAGTTGATGAAGAGTAGTTGAATACTACTCTTCATCAACTCAGTCAACGGAATACTACTCTTCCATTGACTGAGTTGATGAAGAGTAGTATTCCGTTTCATTGGACATTCTATAATTAATTTAAGTCGGTGTGTTTCCCCCATAGTGTGCTTTCCATTAACTTTCGAAGTTGTTTCCTTGATGGTTTGCTAGACTCAGGTATGCATCGACGAGGACGTCGATCTTCCCTAAGGGGGGGAGAGTGTCGCGAATATGACTTCGGGTATTGAAAGATACTTGTCAGCCAATCCTTATGGACACTCTTTCCTTACTGCCATGATGGCAGGAGGTCGGTACAATTGGTTCCCTTTATCGTTCCCACTTGAGCTAGTTGAGAAACTGGTCAATAACCTTGCACTTAAATTGGACAAATATAAGGTAGGAACACTATGTGTTTCTCGCTGAGCATACTCAGCCTGGTTTGAAAAACTCGTATCATTAACTTACACTTGCTAGTATCAAGAACCCCCGTGATATTGAGACTAGTCCCTCAATATCACCGGATAATAGCTTACCGTGTCTGCCAAACACCCTCGCTATCATGCCCTTTATGTTAGTCTCATTTTGGTCCTAAATGCTATTTATGGAAAGTGTCTAGATTCGCTCATTTAGCGTATCTACGGAATGTAGAGATCGGCTTGAACATAATGGTGTTCGTCCCGTATCCAAATTTGGAATCTAAGGACATTCTATATTTAGTAAGTTTCGAGCTTGTCCCAAAGATTAACTCTTGGTACTAAGGGAGGCTTGGGGTGAAAGCCTAAAACGTGTGTTCCTTAGGGGGGGGGGGGGATATGGAAGGTTCCAAATGTATAGTAGGGATAGTGGTTGGGATGCATGTCTAACCATTTGAGATATTAATTTAGCTCCCGCTAGGCTGTGTCACTCCTTGTTCTACGTCCGACTTGGTTCTAAGTCCAAGCTCCATGCTACTTTAGTCGTTGGGGTACCCTCCTCCTCGCGTTAAGCCACTGGTATGCCAAAATTGTGCCAGACTCTGTCTGACACCATTTTGTGTGTAAGTGCTGGATACAAGGAGCTAGTGCTCATGGGATTGTACCAGACCCTCATTTCATAGTGCAATGGGCTTGGAGTTTGGCTCCAATTTTATGTGCACTACATAACATTAATTATAGAACTCCCTGGGCGATAAACAACCTTGAAATTATATACTTGAAGCTTTAAGGTCCACCAAATAATATGACTAACTAAGTTCTTTTGCTTTAATAACAAAGTAATTACAACATAATCACCTTTATAAAGAACTGAAGGGAACGACTTGAATTTATAAATAAAAATGCACTCTTTTTTTCCAATCGGTTAAAGGTTTTAGAATATTTAAAGATAAATCCTTAGGTTTGAATAGTATTGGGTTGGGTGAACTTTTGGGAAGTTCAAAGTTAGAAACTTATATTTGGTATTAAAAAGGTATCAAGTCCTAAGAAATGGAAGATGTCAATCCAAGAAAATGTATATAATGCCAATATATATGGCTAACCTCATCACAAGCCTAATAACAAATATCACGGCTATAACCATATCTTTGTCCTTGTCTTTGAATACAAGTAACAATAACATCAACTTCTATTAGAATAGAACCATGTCCCACATGAAGTGGGGGTGAAAGATATATAATAAAAAGTGGAAGAAGTGATGTCTCATAACGTTATGCCAGTCAAAGAGCATTATCAAGGATGGTTGGAGCAAATTTATTCACAAATTCCACAAGATCTTGACAAAGTGTTAACCATTACATTCCCATAAGTAAAGTGTATTTTTACTTATGTCTACTTAAAATATGATTATTTTTCTTGCCAGGAAGGATTTGATCTACTCTGACATATTTAGCTTCACATGAAGCAAAAGGCTCTAAAGTGAATATCAAATTACATCACTAACTCAGATGGCCCTTAATGAAGATAATGCAATTGTTAAAAAACATTATCACAATTGCTAGCATGTCCAAATGTATATTTGAAAATGTCTAAAAGAATGCTCCAATCCATATGAGTGGCTAAACTTAAACTTTTGTACCACTGCAATGGTGTCCCTTTGAAACACATGGGAAACTTATGTAAACACCAAACATCATCCCAAGAATGATAGGTAGCAATTATTATAAAGTGATCAAACTAATGGTACATATCATCCCTAAAATTCCCAAAAAAAAACTCTAACTAAATACAAGGATTGGCAACAAAAGTAGGAGGAACTTTGCCATCATGAATACCACTATCAATTAAGTTTAATTATTCAATTGCAAGTATATAACATCTAAGTCAAAGGAGGAGGATGCTACTACTATAGCATAAAGATGAATGAAAAGGAAAAAACAATTGAAAATAAATTGAAAAAGCTATAAGAAAAGTGAGATTTAGATAGTGCAAAAGCTAAATCTAAACTAAAATCTAAATCCAAGCACTTCTTAGGGACAATTAAAACTACATCCCACCTCCACTAATGTAAGTGTATGGAATATAGAAATGGAATACATGAATGTATATATTAATTTGCCCAAAAACTCTAATTTATATACATTAAGTGAAAGGTTCAGCTTAAAATCAATCTAATGGCTATTAAAATCTCACTATACTAATATTAGTATATGGCATTGGAGCCATACACTTCCTCACAACACATTTTGATTGCTTATATAACAATTGAAAAGTGATTGTGTATATAATATATTTGTATGCAACTCAAAATAAATAAATAAATCCACACATGTGTAAATATAATGCCCATTGCCATAGTCTTTGCTTAGTGGGAATGGAATTGAGGGAGCAAGTAACACCATTTTGATTCTCGTACAAATGTGCATATCAGGGTGTACTACAATCTCCCACATGAAGTGGAGTTAAAGTATATGCAATAACAAGTGGGAGATGCAATATCTCATATCATTGTTGTGTGTCAAATTTTCTTTTTCTCTCACAAAACCCCTAAACAATTATTAATCCAGACAAAACCTTATCAAAATATTTCAGTAAACCATGGTTAAATAAATTGCTATGCATTGCATATAGCAACACTTGGTTTGCTTAATAGTAGTGTTATTTATAGTTATTAATCTAATTGATCAAATAAAGTTTATAATTATAAGCATGTTTGTAATTTATAAACACAAGATTAATCTCATTACAACCATTTAGATGATAGAATAAAAAAGAATATACTAGAAAGGGTTTAAGAAAGTTTATAAATTATAAATTCAAGATTAATCTAAATTAATAACAACTATTAGATGGTAAAATATCCTAAAATATCCAAGCATTTAGAATCCACTTACAGGTTTTCTTAAGCAAACCAAAAAATAGCTGGATCTAATGGCTTAAAAAGTTGCTTGCAACCTTCAGGCAAATATAAACCATAGCTAGGATGGATAATGACGTGACAAGCAACACTCAAGCATGTGAGCAAACATAACAAAAAGGTCTCTTTAGTTTGTGCTCCCTAATGCTACAAAATGCTGCAACATAAACTTGGACTAGTACTGGACACAATTTGATCACGTTTTTTTAGCTGTGTTAAGCAGTAAGTTCCTCTCAAAATACAGGCTAATCAAGTGTTCTGTCACAACACATTGAAAGGTGGAGGTGGACATGGAATCTGAACTATTAAACTATAAATAATTTGACCAACTATGATTGTAAAAGTCAACCAGGAACAGCTTGAAGATGTCAATTATGACATTCTGTAGTCTTCATTTTCAGGCGGTATGACTAAATTCGTGCACGTGAAAATTTAGAGAAGCAAGCATTTGCTGGGCTAGTCAATTGACCACGTGTTGCATTCGTGATAAATTGATTGATGGGTCACAAAACCAGCAAGAATGAGGAGATTTTGCATCACTTTCATTGTGGCGATGGTGATACTACTACATTTACATCTTCACTTCGTATGGCCTCTCTTTGGTAGTTCTTCCTCGGCCACTGCACCATTCACAATCAACAAGGGGATTGTGAGAAAGCTGCTGGAGGAAGCTCCTCCTCCAAGTCCTAGTAAGTATTCGTTTGAAAATCTCTAGTTTTCTCTTTACCATCGCTATAAATTTCCAGCCGAATTTGGAGAATTTCGACCGGGGAATCGTCAGCCACCCCTCTGCTGCAACCCATAAAACGCGATTCGAAAAGCCCCATCCCATATCTCACGACGGGAAATGCTGGCTACACAAAGATAAAGAACTAAGAATCACAAAGATATGCTTAACATTTTTCTCTTGTATAAAACAATGGACAGCTCCGTACAGTCCGGAATAAATAGAAAGGTAGCATACTTCTGCAAGACTATTATGCTCTAGAACTCTAGAATTACTCGGTGGAGCTCGCGGCCAACTTCAGTGAGAGAATGGACAAGGCCAGCTGATTATTCTCTCGAATAATCAAGCATTGGGTGGCAATTTATCCATCGTGAGAATGAACGAGCTGCTCATGCAGATGGTGGCCAAGCATCCCGTGGTCACAAATGTGCGTTGCAGGAAATCTGAGCGCATGCAATGGCTGGGGCTTAACTAATACACAGGGACACTAGAATGGCTTGAATGCATCCCCTGTTGTTGTTACGACTGGAAGTCCTGAACCATCTTTGACCAGAGTTGTAACGTTTTCTTTCGGTCTTGGAGAACCATCTGGTGTTGGTGAGATTGTGTTTTTGAAACTATTTCTAATACTACTTGAACTATATGAACGACTACATACGAAACACAGCAGGATCAAACTTTGTCCAGTGCAAGTTGTCATGTTCTCAGGGGAAAGTCCATGTTCAGTTTGTACGAGTCATGTTTGATCTTCGAGCATACTTTACATGAATGAGAAATATATTTTGGGTTAGAAGAAAACTTTGCGAACTGGTTTTGAATCTTGTGGCTGTGAGACTGCGGAAGAAGTCAAAGAGAAACCAAGTAGAAAGTTGCAAATGTTTATCACCAGCAGTGTTACAATTCTTGCTGATTGTGCGGCAACATGTGAACTCCTATCCCACATGATTGGTGGTAATCTCTTTTTGATTCTGTGTAAATTTGCCACAAGGAACAATCCTAGTTTGCCGAGTAGTACATATATTTATTCAAGTCATGTAAATTTTTGTGGAGGTGCAAATTTACGTAATTAAGTCAGAACCGGGGCTTTTCCGAAGGCGAGCCTGGGGTGGTGGACCAAGACGAAAAAGACGCTCCAGATGCATGGGGTGAAGAACTTGAGTCCCGTGTCCGACTTGATCTTGACAAAGCTTCAATCTCCGTTATCATGCGGATAACCACGAGTTTAGATCTTTTTAAGAGCTTACCTTTTAACGAAGAAGCCATTTGCCTAGTGGCCGCGTGTTGCATTGCAGCTTGTGATAAATGTATAGTGCTCGCCGAGATCTCACAAAACCAGAAAGGATGAGAAGATTTCATAAGGCTTTTATCACGGCGATGGTGATACTACTACATTTGGAATGTCACTTCTCAGGTGGTACTTGCGTTCTTTTTAATAGTTCTTCATCAACAATTAACGAGCTTCAAAATGAGTGGAGAGCTGTGGCAGTCTGAGGACGGGTATCTTAGTAAGTTTTCGAATAAAAATCTTTCACTTTCTGATCTTGCTCAAGTTTCTAGCAGCTGCTCAAGGATTGCCACCCTCCTGTTACAACCTCTAACGGACGAAGAATCACAGCCGAAAACTGGGCTGCCTCAAGCTTTGGTCAAGAAGCTGCTGGTACCTTGTTGATGACAACACATGAAATTTGCTATGTTATTCTAAATTTGTTACGTTTTTCGTTCATGATCCCTAATCTTCTTTCTGCAAATGTTGATTTGATGTTGTTGTTGTTGGTATTATTCCTCTGCTTGCTTTGGCCATGAACCCCATCTTCATGATCATTATCATCCATCCCATGCATTAGAGAACTAGAAAATGGTTCTACCACTGATGAATCATGCTCAGCAACACAATTATCCAAAGACAGAAGCTCCCTTCCACATAAAGCTGAAAAAGGCAATGCTTTGGCAAATGCAACAAGAAATACCACCAAAGCAGACTTCACTAGAGCTTAATAATGCCTGCTGATTGCTTGGATGCCTTATATATCATGTTACAAGCCAGCATGCATTGCCATGTGGTTGAATACTCATTGATTACACCCCTGTGTTAAGTAGGGCAAAATGTCAGGATGGCCAAGCGGTCTAAGTTGGTAGACTCAACCTCACGAGGGTGTGTGTTCCAATCCCACTTTGACAGTTAGTTACATTCATCCATCACATAGTTTTATAGAGTTGCAAAGTTGACGGTAGCAAGGTGGTAGAAGAATACTGTTCAATTTGGTCCAATTTGCACATAGTGATGGTACTGCATTTGCAACTTCATGCAATACATTGAACTGCCCCGTCAAAGGCTAGTTATAGCCTTGTGGTTATCTCTTTGCCTCATACTTCAAGCAACACTGGTCGTCTTTGGTGACCGGTTTGGGTGCCAACCTACGAATGTCTTCAACTTAAAGTATAAAACTTAAGGTTTTTCCGCATATGTTCAGGCAGGCACAACGAACAGCCTTAGCCCTTAAAGCAATGCCCGGTATTTCTTTGCTTCGTTGGAAGTAGTACTCTTGCATTGGGGTAAGGGACGAACCGAATATTTTCAATTAATAGTGGTGGCAACCGTACATAAAATCTAGTGACTGAGGTCGAGAGATCAAGGAGACGTTTAATGCGTTGCAATGCAAGGTGGCTGGCTGTCTCATGAAATCCTGGGTCGGGGTTAATCTTGGGAGGTGCTGCATTCGCTAGCGCTTAATCTGGCGTGCAGTAGTAATCAAAGCGACTAATATGTGATGTTGGAGAGACTGTTCCAACACCTGAAAAGACCGGCAGATCACTCCCGTTCTACAGAACATGGAGCTGAGGTCGAGCTAAGGGTGGCTGCGCCATAGCTCGTAGATCTAAGTCACTGGAATCTGTCGAGGAGGAAGAGGACTCGGCCTGAGAAGGTGCAGTGTCGTACCTAAGCTGCCTTTGGATGTTGGAAAGTTTACTCCGTACTTAGGGCCTTGAGGTATGGTAAAAGGGTGCCAATTCGTCGTACGTCTAGTTTGTACCGGCATCAAATACCCTGAACACTGCAAATGCCCGGTCAAGGCAACTGGGTTGACAGGAGTAAGAAGACTGTAGGCTAGTGCTCAAGTTGCTCAAAATGCCTTTGACCCGACCGCCGAAGTAGCCACTGGAGTAGCCACTGGAGGAGCCACTAGAGTAGCCGCTGGAGTAGCCACTGGAGTAGCCGGTAGCCGGTAATCGGGGTAGTCGCTGGAGCAGCCACTGGAGTAGCCGCGGGAGTAGCCGGTAGCCGATAACCGGGGACCTGTGACATGTAACCGGTAACCCCTACTCTCGCTCCTACTCCTGCACTTGCTCCAACACCAACTCCTATCCCTGTGCCTATTCCTATTGTCCCTGTTTCTACGCCAACGCTTGTTCCTGCTCCTCCTGTTCCTGTTCCTACGGTTACCTGTTCCTTGAAGATTGCTTCGTTCCCAAGGAACCCCCAACGAAGTTTAACCCAAAAGAGAAAAATGAGTCCTCTAGTCTCGATCCTTCTCCATTTTGATTGTTGGTGGGCTCGTTGGAAAGAGCTCAGCCCCGTCTACCTTATATCGCAAGAATTTGGGAAGAAACTGCCTCAATATTCCCTAAAATCCACGAAGAGGTAGCCCAGAACGCCAACATTATGGAAAAACATGTGCATGTCCATGATGTAGATCGACACTAAGGCGCCGTTGGTACTTCTCGAAAGCCTAGGACCAGGAGCACCTCTAGAAATAAACGGCATCCAAAACCAAGCCTGGAGGAGCATGAATTCCTACCACAAAGATAACCCAATCTAGCCGGAGAAGAAAATCCTTTTGCATGCCGTCAATTCTCCCAAATCTAGTGCCAAGAACTACCACTACTCATAGATCTAGGCCAGATCTACAAACCCAAATGCACTACCTTGAGAAATTCGGCCGAGGATCCAGGCGAGAAAGTGAAAACCCCAAAATGCTCATCCGACCGAGCCAAGAAACGTTGTATCTCTTCAAATACTGCACGGCTTGATGAGCGCCATACCTTGCTGGAAAGAGGAGCTCCAGACCTATCCAACACACTCAAGATCAAAGAAAACCACCGCAAAATGAACAAGGAATTCCTTCCCAAACTCTGCGGCCAAAAGAAAAGAGAGAAATGACGCTTCAGAAAGTCCTGCACGTCACGCTGGGTTCACCATTTGTTGGGGAAAGGAGGGGCGCCTCCCCCAACGCTCGCTCAAACACGAGAAATGCTTCACTGCTCTCTGCAAAAATGCCCCCCCTCGCCCTTGTGAGGCAAGGGTTTTATACAAGGAAGACGGGGAATATTCTGAGGACCAGAATATTCCCTCTCTCTCTCTCACTCTCCCGGTGATCAGTCCTTAACAATCAACGGTCAGACGACCGAACTTCCATACTACTTCTGATGTACCCTTCGAAATAGAGCCAACGAATGGGCTCAAACACTTCCTCAAATACAAGTTTTGACGACCTCACACTCAAGCTCGTAGACCGATTCAAGTCTTCCCTCACTCAAAGCCAATGACTTCACAAGATCCAAAAACTCAAGCAGAAGTCTGGTCAATCCATCGACGACTACACTCAAACCTTCACTCGACATGCCAACAAATGCGGCAACAGTGCCACCGAAACATTACTTTACCAATGGTACATGCAAGGCCTACGACGATCCCTCTGAGAAGCGGCAACACACATCAACGTTGCCACTTATCTCGAACTCGCAAGAGCCCTTCAAGATGTTCAAGCTCGACGAATGACAGCACAAGTAGATGACACAGATAACTCAGATTCTGATAGCAGTTCCGACGACAACTCCAATGATGAACTTAGAGAGAGCACCAAGTCAAAACTTCGAAAACTCAGGAAAACAATCGACAAGCTCAAGGGAAAAGCCAAGGCCGACATCAAAGAATTTTGATCTGGAATTTGGTGTGCTAAGTGCAAGAACGAAGGACATCTAGCAAGTGACTGCAAGCTCTAAATCTCCAAATGCCAGATCTGTACCAAAGAAGGTCATGATGCCAAGACTTGCAGATTTCGAAATTCTCCAGAAGTTCGACAAGTCTCAAACTATCCCCGA